CCTACCAGACAAAATGCTTGGTCTTAGAATATGTAAGTGATTGATAGCCATCAATCCTGACATGAATCCTCCCACTCGCACAAGTCCACAGGACGTCTCTATCTAAAACAATAGTGTTTAAGTCCACTTGGTTATTCTTACAGTCATAGAAACATGGTTTAGAAAGCAGTTAAAATTGCATTATGAGCAAGTTTGGATCACCAGACTTTTTCTCCTGGTCCTTATAAATGAGCTGTCCCTGCTGTGGCAGAGTGAAGCTTTGTGGTTCCTCCTGTCCCCCAGGCAGCAATCTTGCCCTGATGGTGCTGAGCTCAGGAGAGGCTTGTGTGCCTGGACTCTTGACAAATCTAGAGACTACAATGGGAACAATTTTTATCCCTCAGGTCTTAATGTCAGCAACATACTGTCTGGGTCTGTTACCTTCTCCTTGTAATTCTTCTGATTCTTCATGTCAAAAAAAAAAGGGGGGGAGGTCGGGGAGGGAAGACTAAACAAGACCCAAGACTTCCTGCTTTTCCATATTTCTTTTTTGCTCCTAACAAACTAATAATTTTCTCAGATTTTTCATAGTGATAGCTGCAGTTTACTCCTGAATGTTTCTCCACAAAACTGTACTTGAGCTTACGGTCCTTGTTTGACAGTCACCCTCTGAGACCTGCTTCCACGTGGGCTTCCCACAGGTTTCATGTTGCTCTTCAAGGTGACTTGACTCCTCTGGGACGGTGATTCCACCTCACAATGTTGCCTGACAAGGGACTGAGCACCAGCAGTACCCAGGAAGCACCATTTAGCTTTCAAAACACCTTCATGGACTGTCATAGCACGGGAGGCGTACTACTGTGTCTTACTTCTATGTTGCTAAATCCTGTTTCAATTAATATTTTAACAGTACTAGCACAGATATACAAACTGAGCTCTATATATCACTGTGAAAATGTTCATTTGTATAAATCCACTTACCCAAAACAGCAGATAAGAGTGTAGAAAAATTATGTTAAATGTCTGTTTCAATTTTAGAGTGATGGCTATTACAGATGGACTGATAAAAGGAAAATAAATTTTTCGAACTGGTACTACGGAGAATCAAAATAGAAAATAGCCTGTGTCTATCTAGAGCTCCATGGGACCTGGAAAACAGCACCTTGTAATGAAAAACATTCTCCTGTCTGCAAAAAATCTGAGGGTAAGCTATGACGATGACTTTTGGGTTTATGGCAGAAACCTTGCTGGATCTGCTTTGACTGAAACAGAAATTTCTAAGTATATAGTAAGGAATAATAAGCCTGAGTATGTAATGTCAATGCTTTTCTTCTGTATGAACAATGCCTTATTTTGATGGAGTTGTCATTCACCAGCCAGGATGCTGCCATTTCACTGGACTGGGGTGATAACTGCCATAGGAGTCATCCTACGTTGGAGGCAGACAGAACATAGAGACTGTGGGAGTACTAAATATTTCACTTCAAGTCTAGAATATGAAACTTCTTGCTGACAGGGATTTCATGGGAAGGATTGTAATCAAGGAAGTCCACTGAGTATAAAATAAATGTTGTTTGTTCAACATAAGCAGTGTTATGCGGTTCTAAAAACTGGGGAAAGGAGGAAGGGTTTTATCTGGCTATTCATGCAGCAGTCTGGTGGCTGCTACTCATGTATTATAGTGATGAGAAAAAAAAGTCTGCTATCGGCCCAAACAAAAGTTCATACCTCATAGTGACTCTATGGTTGTCACTGAGGAATACTGCAAAAGCTACAGGCAAACCTTAGGACAGGACTGACATTTTTGCTTTCTCATTTGTATTGCAGCAATTGCTGTTAGCTCTAGTGACACCCAGTTAATGGAAATTCTGAGTTTCTTTTGATCTGTTTTTGTGTAGTTTTTCTGTAATTTCTTTTCTAGGCCATGCTCTGAACTTCAAATCTATTTTATTTTAAAATGTCTGTACTAACTGACAATGTTACTGTTTCCTCCTGTAATGTCATTGCTGGCAGGAAAATGAAGGGCTGCTACACAAATATTCAATGAGCAACAGATTATTCTATGCATTGTAAGTTAAAGGTTTTCAGAAATTTTCTGTAAGGATTATTATCTTGAGGAAAATATTAAATGGGAAATTTCCCCAGTAAACTATCATTTAGATGGTATTTCCTGTAAGATCAAATTGTTATTTGAATCTCTTGAGGATTTGGGAGTTTTCCATCTTTTTTTTTCCTGCTTTTTACTGTATTTTTAATTTACACAAATTTATTGCTTATAATGAAATAAATGAGAACCCAAACCCCCTGAACCCTCAAATGTCCTTGAGATAGTCAAAGTTTGATTTAGTTGTCACAGAAGAGCACAGGCTGCTATTGAATCATTCAGCTGTGACTGAGCAGTTCTGCTCCTCATTGCCACTCCTGACATAGTCACTGATAATTCTGGCACTGCGTGCCACAGAATATTTTAAGTACTTTTCAGATAGGGGTTTTTTATAAACTTGATGTCATATCTGAAGAAATGCAGTCTCTACTGAATGAAAGCATCCCTAATATCTCATTTCTTTTAGATGTCCTTCCTGTGATCCTCCACAGGATATTGGAAAATGTCCTGAATCTGATCACATATTTTGGATTCCTTTCCGAAGCCACTGCTATAACTTCAATATCAATGAAATGAGCTGGACTCAGTCTGTGACTCAGTGCATTCAATCAGGTAATTATTAGTTTTACCCAAAGTTAGGATTTCAATCTTGACATTAAAAAAAAAGAAATCACTTTTTAAAATGTCTTGAAAACTAATGCTGAAAAATCTGCACATAGTGAAAAATGGAAATCAATGTCTCATTTATTTTTCACCATCGAAGCTCTTTGCTTGTCAGGTTGAAATTCAGGTGATAATTTTCCTTGTTTTTTTCCAGGTGTGTGTTTTTTTCTTGTTATATTTCTTCATTCACAAATTTGGTTTTAGTAAGATTTTAAAATGGGTTAACTTCTTTCCAGCTGTATCCCTTCTTTTCCATATATCTCCCTAATGTGGGGTGTGTGATCTGAAATGGGCTGCGTGTTCTGCCTGAAAGCCCTCACTCCCCCAGCATGGTGCTCTGGCAGCCTGGGGAGCCAGGGCAGGGCAAATGCATCCCACTCCCATCTTGGAGGCATCTGGTCCTGGCCAAGACCGTGAGCTGCTCCTTGGCCCTCTTCCACCTATGCTGCTGAATCATCAGCTACCTCAACCATGCTTCAGAAGGCTGTGAAAGAGAAAGGAAAGCACTATGCTGCCCAAAACAAATGGGTCCTTCTGTTTCATATCTTTTTAGATTCTTCTGCTCCACAAGCATTGCCTGAAAAATTAATACTTAGTTTGAGTCACAGATTTGTTTGCTGCACAATATTACATGCTGCATAATATTCTCTCAAACCATGAAGAACAAATAATCATCCTTAATACCTATGAAAAAATATTTTCCAGTCACTTGAAAATAATGCGCACTTTGCCTGATGTTTAAAAACCATCATCTTCACTGTGCTTTCACATCTTTCATTTCTGATGACATCACTCCCAGTCTGTGCTGTTGCTCTACAGCTGAACACTACTTTCTAGTCTCTACTTAAATCCTGGCTTATTCAGTCCCCAGCAGCAGGAGAGGTTTTGATTAACCTTATCCTACATCAAAGGCTATAAGTACCACTGACTTCTACGGCAGGGGATACCTCCAATCGTCTTCTGTTGCTTTTGTTACAGGTGTTATGTTGTCTTCTGTAGAAGATCTGGCTGAATCAAACTTCTTAGTAGAGCATGCAGACTTGTACACAAGCAAGACAAGTGGCTTTTGGATAGGAATATACAGAAATGTAAATGGTAACTATTTAAACTTCTATAAATAATCATAAATAGACTTATTAAATGGACAGAAATCTGAATCAAAGACACTTATTTTTAAGGAACTAATCAAAGTACAACAGAAGCTAGTCAAAACCAAAAAGATAGATTGATAGCATACAGTCTAAAAAGTCGTGAAGTTGGTGGTTTTATCCAACAGGTGTGAAAGGATGTAGATAGGCTGCTTGGCTTCAGTTACAGGTCTTGGATATTGCATGGGTCCACCAAAGGGATGCCACCATGTGGGACTGC